GGAGGAGCTACAACAGCTTCTTTTACACAGAAGATGAACTGGGGAGCTTATAACACAACTATGGATTCATGTAAATTGTGAAACATGCAACTCAGTGTGAGTAGAGTTTAGCATTAAAAACAAGAGCTTGAAATGACAATAACAGGCACCTTTTCCCTGATATACTCCAAAAGACTTCTATAGAAAATCACTCAATTTTCTAATATTCGTAAATCATTACTCAAAAAAAAAATCTCAGGGCTCAGTGAGAAATGGTTTTACTCAAAACTGTGAAGTGGAATAATACTTCAGAAGATGAGGTGGAGGAGGACCAGACATGAGAGCGAGAAGATGAGAGCTGAGAGGAGGACATGCCTTTGAGGAGCCTGAAAAGGGAAAAATGTGTAAGCTAGGGCTCTGAAATTGTCGGAGAGGACACGAGCCTGTGAAGGGAATCGTCTTTCCATGGCAGTCTTGTTGATGAGTACCTCCCACTTGTTTGTGTGCTCTGATTTTTTGTTTTTTCCTTTTCTCAAACCCGGTTGCCTAGTTTCCGTTTATAACCACTTGTTTGGTAGCTGTGGCCGCCGGTAGTTTTTTCAGGTGTCATATTAAAAACAATTTCAACCCAATTTCAGTATGGTATTAATGCTACCTTCAGAAATGAGCACCTCCCTGTGGTCTGTGGTCTGTGTTTTTTTTTCTTCTAAAACCTGTCTGACTACATGGTTGGTGGCCGTGGCTAGCATTGCCCTGTTTTTCGGTTTCATGCTAAAAAAATAAAAAATAAAATAATATCTGCCCAGCTTCAGTATGGCTGAAAGTGAATTGATAAAGACAGGAGACATAGGACTTAGTGCACTTTTAGTATATAAATAAAGTTGAATTCTATTCTATATATTAATTATATAAATCAACAGCATAAAGGAAGAACTCAAACTCTTAGCTTGTGTGTGTGGGACTGGGTGTGTATGAATTCCACTGGAAAGGTTCTAGTTTCCCCTTCTAGTTATCATGATGCCTAAAAACTTCAGAGCCCTACATTAAACAATTTTCCATATAATGGAGAGGGGGTCAGAAGCTCATACATCTTCCTCTGAGCTTTCTCCTTCCTGCTATAATGTCTAGCCTTCCTCCACCCCCTCTCTTAACAGCAGTAACACTGCCTGCTCTACCTCCAGAATTACAGCCACCCCAAGTATGGACTGCAAATC